CCCCCAAAACCCCAAAACCCCAAAACCCCTTTTTCATCAATCCCTTGTGATAATTTACAATAATAAATATGCAAACCAAGATACATCCTGGAAGAATCTTGAGGAATCTTATGGACACCAAGAGTGTGATGTGTCCAGGAGCCTTCAACGGTCTTGTAGGCAGAATCATAGCTAGTCAGGGCTATGAAAGTGCCTATGTCTCAGGAGGTGCCATTACAACTGCCTCTGGAGTGCCAGACATTGGCCTTCTTCCTATTGATGGATTCACAAAAATAATATCTGAGGTATGGCATTCCTCAAAACTTCCTATTATTGCAGATGCAGATACAGGTTTTGGAGAAGGAGAAATGGTAGCAAGGACTATTTGGGAATATAACAAAGCAGGTGCAGCAGGCCTTCATATTGAAGACCAAGTATTTCCTAAAAGATGAGGTCATCTTTCAGGAAAATCTGTTGTCCCAGCAGAAGAATTCTCATCAAAAGTTAGAATTGCTGCTGAAGCAAGAGACGAATGCTCTGATGGAAACTTTATCATCTGTGCACGTACTGATGCAAAATCAGTTGAAGGACTTGACTCAGCAGTTGAGAGAGCTAAGCTTTACATAGACTCAGGAGCTGATATGATCTTCCCTGAAGGTCTAAGCTCCTTAGAAGAGTTTGAACTAGTTAGTAAAGAACTAAAGAAATACTCTCCTAGCACTTATCTCTTAGCAAACATGACAGAATTTGGTAAAACTCCAATCATAGACTTCGATGACTTTAGCAAAGTTGGATATGACATAGTCATCTATCCTGTCTCTACTTTAAGAATAGCTATGAAGGCAGTAGAAGACTTCCTCTCTCAACTAAAACAAGACGGAAACGTCAATGCAGGTTTAGACAACATGCTCACAAGAGATAAATTATATGACCTCTGCAACTACAAGCCAGGAGAGGAATGGATATACCCTAATCCAACCAAAAAGAAGGGAGAATAATTCCTAGAATCATAAAATTTCAACGTGAATGTACGTCCAAGGGGTTTTGGGGTTTTGGGGTTTTGGGGTTTTGGGG